CCCCAAAACCCCAAAACCCCAAAACCCCAAATAGCAAAAAAAAGATTGAGAATTTCCTTAATCAACTTAGCCAATTATCAGAATTAAGAAAGCTCATTAGCTTTCAGGAGTTCTTCATGTTCTTTCTTCATTTTCTTCCGCTTGAACAACACTTCTTGGAAAGTGTCCTTGTACAATGAAAGCTTTTGATCTAATATGTCAGGATTAGGTACAAATTTCAGAGAAAAATCTTTAAGTAATCATGGTAATTGAGAGTACCATAAAGACACTTTAGCCGTAATTTAGGGATTTATGTATACTTTAAGCAGGTTTTATGGCTCCTCTTTGGGCTAAGAATGTAATCTAACTAGACAAAAGGGCTTTAAAGGCATTCAAATCATATTTATATATGATTACCTAGTAATTCTGTTGTTCTCTTAGAGCTGGTAGTTATCTTGACAGTTTTGGTTCTTCCTATATAGATAAAGTTACTTAGTGAGATTTGAGGCAACGAGGAAATCAGCTGAACAATAAAACTACTTCCAAGTGACTTTCTGGCAGGGCGAGACTTCTTCTGCAGCTGGGCAATATTCATTTTCTGTAACTCAGTCGTACACTTCTTAGTAAAAGCTTTATTTTATAGAATCATGAGTTTTTAGTAATTTAAGATAGTGTTCTGTCTCAATATCTTCCTTTGCTAACTCACTCTGTGAATTTTCAATAGAAGATTTCCCAAAGATGTTGTTCTTAAAGCCTGGCAAAGATCTGATGGTATTATACCTATAAATTAAGATATCATATACTCATAAAGCTCCTTTGCCAGAAATTTAGTGTTTTGTGGTTCATCAAAATTTCTGGAATTGAGCCTTTGATATTCCAAATCAGCCCCTTTAGTCTCATTTTCGTTGCTAAATGCCATGTTAAGATCTCGACAAAATGACGACTTACTGTATGTCTCTAGGTTTCTTTATAATCTGGAACATTTTGTGCTTCTTGATCGTCTTCTGTGGAGAAGCCGCTTTTGAGCTGAACCTAGAATATCTTAAGTGACCTTGCTAATACACCTGCAAAAGTTTTGACCAAGCCTATTAGGACTTACCTCTGGATAATCCCCTTCCTTGAGTATGAGGGCTGGAGTCCTTTCTTGGGCTCTAAAAGAAGATCAGGCTTTCCTTTTAATTACACTATAGCTTATAGAGACTAGAGATAAGAGAAGTAAATTAAATGAAAGGAATCATAAGGTTTATTTTCAGCCAAGAAGCACTTTCTTGAGAACTGATAAACATTTAATATTCCATCAAACCATTAAGAAACAAACATAGATGAAGGATGCTACTCAACAGTGTTAATATTTCATTTTGAACCTAAGTTTCATAGAACTTGGATTTACTGTAAATGGTGTAAATTTAGATAAATAACTTACTTTCAACGAGTTTAGATCCTTTCACTCTGTTCAGCTGAGGTGGTACACTAGTGATTATTCTTGGACGTGCCATCCTTGTTTGAGAAGGAGCATTAACTCTTGAAGCCAGCGCCATACTTTGGGAATCAATGGTCATAAAATTTTTCAAGTTTGAGTCAATAATATTCTGAACTCCTATTGTCTACACCTAATTAGTAACTCATCGAAAAGCAGTAATCAATCATAATAGTCAACTGTGATAGGATAATAGACCGATCTGTACTCCAGATCAATTTCTCATTCCGAGTTGATAAACATTTACCTTGGCTTTAGCCATGCTTCTGTTTCGATTAAGATTAAAACTCTTTGAAATTAAGTTTCCAATCAAATAATTGTTAGAATTGCCCTTTATATCTTTCTTTGGATGATCAGATTCGCCAAAAAGATCTTTCCTGTGCTTTTGGAGAAGACTGTTAACAACCTCCTCTCTGTCCTTGAGTTCTTGCTTTCCTTTCACTGTTTTTAGGGAGTATCTTTTTACTAGATTTTGGTATTCTCTTGGGCTGATCATTTATAATATGACCTAAAAGTGAAAAATTATATTTAAAAACTCAGATGTTTATACTAAAAGACGAATTAACCCAAAGATAGAAGTTCCTAGAATGAGGTATTTTAGGTCTATTTCCCATTCTAACTCCTCTAAAAGTCCCATAAAACTCATGAGATGTCCTCTTCTTCAACTTCATAAGGCTCTTACAATTAAATTATTTAAAATTCTTGTTTCAAATAATCTAAAATTTGAAGGGGTTTTGGGGTTTTGGGGTTTTGGGGTTTTGGGG